TTAAGAACTGTTCCCCCCCTCCCCCGTGTGTCAACGACTGCTTTTGCCTTGCGGTGAGGGCTGTTCTTGGCTTGCCCTGGCCCTGACGATTCTCCCTTCAGACCTGCCTTGCTTCCCTTGGGCCCCGTCTTGCTTTGAGAAGGGCTCTTTGCCTTTTGGTTCAAACTGGGCCCTTGTTGTGTGAACCGCGTTTGCCTTTTGTTTCACTCTGCCCCTTATGGAAGTCGCTCCTTGTCTTGCACCTTTGCCGTGCTCTGAGGACTGCCCTTGCCGTATGCCTGGACCTCTGCCTTGGGGCCTTGCAGGGTAATCTATAGGCTGTTGGTTGGGGGACTGACTAGTCAGTGGAGGGCCATTTGTTCAACCTTCCCAAGAGAAATAAAGAACTCTCTGGAGGCCTGCTGGTACTTGCTGGTTAGTGTGTGGGGTGTAGGCGGTGCCCACCGGCTGCTCCTGGGGGTCCTGGTTCTGCGGACTTCTCCAGCGGCCCTTCTGCTGCCCAAAGCATCTGGGGGGTCTGTGAGAGACACAGGGTGCAGGAATCCCCTTCCCCAAACTCTTTTCCGGTGTGGCCTGCAGTGCACCCAATGGCGCTTTCTTGGAACAGCTTCCTAAGAGTTGTTGCAGAGGGGGACACTCCTGGTTCAGGGAGGGATGTGCACTGTCCCCCCCCCCACTCGGTCAGTCTCTGCCTCCTCCAAGTGGTTCTTCTCTCTTGCAGGAGCAAAATGCAGGAACTGAGCCTGGCCATGGCTGAAGACATTGTGGAGACCCCAGCCCTGGGCCGCCCCTTCCAGCTGGGGATGCTATACGACTGCCGCAAGGATGCGCTCATCCCAGGTAGGATCTGGAGGAGAGGCCGAAGGGTAGGCAGCCCCTGCAGGATCTCTAGAGGGAGGGAGAAGGGCACCACCATCAATTCTCCGGCACAGCACAGGGTCACTTTAGGCTTCAGCTCCTGGACCTGCAGCCTGCTCATAACAGCTATCTCGGTAGGGGTCCCTCGCAGGACGGTGGAGTGAGGGGCATTAATTCAGTTGTGGTGCTGGTGCTTTTCCGGGGGGGGGCAGGTCTGAACACAAAAGATATCGCTGAACCCCTGATGAAAAACATGGTTTCTCCAGGGAGTTGGAAATCTTTCTTGAAATCAATAGGTACATAGAAATTCCCATTCCTCTCTACTCAGTCAAAACCCTTTTGAGTTTCGGGTAGTTTGCAAAACTGCTGGGTGATGACCAGGCAGAACAAATGAGGTCACCATCCAGGAAAAATGATATCTCTATTGTCTCAGCACTCTGGGGCTTCTCTATCCAGCTCCAGGTGTTTCGGAGGTCTCGTTTCACATTTATCTTCCTGTAGTCTCTTGTTCCATGCAGGCGTCACCCTTTGGGACTACAGCTCTCTGCAGAAGGACCTGACCATCAAGCCTCAGCCCAAGACAGAATCGGAAATCATTGCGTCCGACAGCATTGATGACAAGGCCACCGCCCTGGACATTTCAGGATCCCTCAAGGCCAGTTTCCTTGGGGGGCTGGTTGAAGTGGGAGGGTCAGCCAAGTATCTTCATGACACCAAGAAGTCTAAGCAACAGGCCAGAATCACCGTTCAGTACAAAACCACCACCAGGTATGAACAACTGACAATGAGCCATCTAGGAATCCAGAATGTTTCCCATCCAGGAGTCTTTGAGCATGGCACGGCCACCCATGTGGTCACCGCCATCCTCTACGGAGCCCAGGCTTTCTTTGTCTTTGACCGAGACGTTTCTTCAACAGAGAGGATAAAAAATATAGAAGGAAGTCTCCAGGTTACACTCACGAAGGAAATATCTATCGGAGGAGGAGCCGAGGTCAAATACAATCATGAGGAGAAAGAAAATGCTCTGAAGTTCAGGTGCAAGTTCCATGGAGACTTTTCTCTGGAGAAAAATCCAGTCACTTTCCAAGATGCCATGAAAGTTTACGCAACTCTACCGAAAATGTTAGGGAAAGATGGGGAGAAGGCTGTGCCTATGAGAGTCTGGCTCTACCCGTTGACCAAGCTCGATACCAAAGCAGCTAAGATGGTCCGTGAGATCAGCCTAGAATTGGTCTTTGATGCTGAGAAGATCTTGGAGGAACTCAACGAAATTCAGATGCAAAGCAACGACCTAGCCAACGATCCCATTGCTGAGACCTTCCCTGAGATCAAGAGGAAGATCCAGCAGTTCAAGGATCTTGGCAAGCAACACAGGCAGACTTTCCAGAAACAGCTGGCCAGAGTGTTGCCTTCCATCCGTGGTGGAGGGCAGGAAGAAGGGACCCTGGTGGACATCTTGATGTCAGTCAACCAGTCGCCCTTCAACAGCCAAAGACTCAGTGAATTTCTATATACCAAAAAGAGAGAAATTAACTTTGTCAAACCTTATCTGACTATTCTAAGTGAAATACAAGTTATCTCTTCCCAGAACAAGATGGAAGAAATAGTTCTGGACCCTCAAAATTTATACGTGGTCTCTTTTGTATTCACTTCCTTACAGGAAGAGGAGCCATTTCTCTTGAGCTTACAGGACAAGATTCAGGAACGATTCCTGCAAGAATCAGCTAAGTCCACAAGGTCCACTCCTGGGGTGAAGAAAGGCAAGGCCTGGTTTGAGGACCAGGAGAGGACCCACAATGCTCGCCAAGCTGCCAGATCCATGAAAGACTTTTTCACTGCCAATCAATCGAATGAGAAAGTCCGCTTTGTCGTGGCCTCACTCCCAGATGTGGAGATCCCAGGAGCCTCCATTTACCTTTATGAAGACGGAAAGCTAGTCAGCAAGAACTTTGAGTTGCCTTCAAAACCTCTCCCTTTGCAGATTACTGAACTGAGACATGACAGCATTCAGCTGAAGTTTCAGCCAGCTGAATATGGAAAGGCTGCCATCTCCAGCTACCTGGTAGAGTACAAGATTGCAGGGGAAGAAAACTGGAAGACCATGAGGACAGAGGACACCGGGGAGATGTTCCTGC